AAATCTATTTGCATCTGTTTTATGGATTCCATTTGTTTCCTATGTTGGGATTCCATCATGTTCCTCAGCTCCTCTCTAGATTTCTTAATCATGTCTTGTACTAGGGGCACAATTTCTCCTGCTATCTGAGAAATTATTTCTAATTTCATTTTTTCCAGATCCCCTTTTGTTGCCAGTTCAGTGGGTCCAGGTTGTTGAGTGTCAGAGTGTTCCATCTCATTTCCCTTTGGCATTGCTCTAGGTGATGTGGAAGTCTGGTTTTGAGACTTATTTACATGTCTCATTTCAACTGGGGGGGACTAGCCATTACATTTTGTTAGATCAAAAGCATTTACCTTTTTACAAAAGTCTCTACCCAACACTTCCCTCTCTCAGTCTAAAAGTATTTGACTATCCTTCACTATCCACAGGCATCTTCCAAGGATACCCAAACCCACAGATGCTCAAATGTTTTATATAAAATGGCATCACGGTACTTGCAGAGAACATATTCACTTCCTGTATACTTTGTGTTATCTGTATATTTCTTAGAATACTTGAATCAATGTAAATTCTATGTAAATAGTTACACTGCTTTGTTCAGAGAATAATGACCAAAACAAGAGTGTACCCTCACCCTGCTCTAAATGCTTTGAGTCACTGCTGGTTGTGTTGTACATGCAGAGGGCTGACTGTGCAAATCTTACTTGCACTAAGGGATGAGCAGTGAGCAGCTCCACACAGGTCAATATTCTTCAGCCAGAAACACCCCAATTTGCCTCAGGCCAGAGTGCAGGCTGGTCTCATCTCCTTATTCATACCCAGCACCTCCTGTGGCCATGGAAGATCAGGTGGTGTTTGATGAGACTCTTAAGTGGCCAGACCCCAGAAGTACTTTGGAATGAGGGAGGTCAGTTATGTTCTGAGCTCTGCTAATCCTGAATGGCTCAGAGTGAAGAGCCTAAGTTTCTCCTTCTGAAAGTTAGAGATTTTTTTTTTTGACTAAGGAAATCATGAGGCTTTACAAGGTCTGAAAGGGCCCAAACAGTCTTTCAGCCCCACACCCTCTCTGCCTGCCCCGTGTCCGTGTCCTCACTGTCTTCAGTAATCATCCCCCAGCCAGATATCCAGCAGGAAGTAAAGATAGGCAGCGTGAACGAGCTGTTTGGGAGACAGATAGGATGGACGTGGGAAGTGAACTCCATAGGCCGGTGTAGTTGCATCAGGACAATGTCTCTTGACATGTGGTGAATTTTATCATAGTCTGCGTGTACAATGAATTTATTCACTGTCATCTTCAGGCTGTAGTTCGTGGGATTGCTCAGCTGGTTGTAGCCCAGGAGGATCCTGTAGTCAGATGGGTTGTGGGACCTATTGGGGGCCAGTTCCTCTGAGTGCTAGGCTGGCACTCTCACTCTAAAAACTCACCCACCTGGAAGGCAACCAGACACTCCACTCTGACATCTTAAGGAGTTATCTGTACTCCCTAATATTGGGCTAGCCTTTCTCTCGAGATGGGCTTGATTGCTACCCATAACCTCAGGATATATGTATCCTTTGAAGGCTCTCTATGGCTTGTCTAGCATGTCTCAGGACCCAAAGAGCAGAGAATCTGATTCTAGAAAGGCACATTTGGGGTGTGTCAAACTGTACCCTTTTATCTTAGAAGAGAAGAGCCTTGGCTTATTTCCAGCTTGACTAATCTCTCTTATGGCCCCAAGGCCTCCTCAAAGATTGCGCTTCTCTGGCTAGCATTACCCATCCCCTGGTTCTCACATATTGTCTTCTCTCAAAGCTGCCACACCTTGGGCACAGGCATTCAACAAGGATTTCTGGAAGTACAGAGGAGTGCATAGAAACCTCTTGTTTCTTGTTTCTAAAATACAAATGACTTTCCTGCCCATGCACCTTGCTGGGTTCTGACTCCTCATGCAAAAATCCTTTTCCCTAAGGGAAAAAAAGCCGGGAGGGGGAACTACCATCCCCACAAGCCAATCTGAAAAATGAAGCCAAGGTCTGTCAGGCCTCATGTCCGGCCTGCATAGGGGATCTGGAGATGCAAGACTCACTTTGAAGCTTCTTGTTCTATGAGGAAAGTGAAGCACATGCCTTAGCCTCCCAGAGTGCTTGGATTACAGGTCTGGGCCACCATCCTTGGCTTGCACATTGCTTTAAATAGCTAACTAGAAATTAATTCACTGTAGATGTTAATTATCAATAAATACTGGTAAACAAACTTTAGTTTCAAAGTGACTGGAGGTGAGAGATGAAGGATGCCCCTGCCTGGGGAGGTGACACCGATGGACATGAGATGGGAGTCAAGTGGTGAGCAGGATGGTATTCCAGGTAGAAGGAGCCACTGAGTCAAAGGTGGGGCAGCAACACAGGGCACCTGATGGCAGCAAACCATCTCAGAGCAAAGCCCGGAGGAAAAAGGCTGGACATTCCTTGCTCCTCCTTTGCCCACCCTGTACATTCCTCCTGCTCCCATTCCCAGCAGTTGCAACCCTGGGGAGGGAAGTCACACGTTTGGAAGCAATGGGCTTCTGAGGTCACCCAGTTTTTGTCGATGAGGGACGCTCCACAGATGTGCCTGCCATGCAGGAGCAGACTGGCCTGCCATGGCCACCATTCAGGGCCTGCAGTCTGACCCCCAAAGATCTTCCCAGTAAAAGCACTCCTGCTGCATACTGTGAAGACAATCCCAGCCACGAGGCACCTGCATTCAGGGCTTCAGCCTCACGTGTAGGAGTCAGGGGACACCACAGCCACTCCTCTCCCTTGTCAGGCCCAGGATGTAAGGACAGGGGCCAGGCTGGGGTGAAGGGGATGAGTATATGGCTGCAGGGGCCTAAGGAGGAATGTGAATCCTGGGCCAGGCTTTTCTGGACCCTAGCTCACCTAAGGACTGCAGCCCCTAACTGAAAGGGCTGGAAAAACAGGAACTGAAGGGAGACAGAGGTGATGGTATACAGTTCATGGCTAAAATGGACTGAGTAGATGTGCCCTCCCACTTCAGCCCAGTGAAGAATGTGCGGTACTGACCCAGACAGCTTCTTCTCCCCTCACACTGAGGCTTGAGACCCCGTAGGAAGGGCCAGGAGGGGAGAGGACCCTTTTCAGAACCTCTCCTCTCCAGTCCAAAGGCCAGGCCTCCCAACTGCCCACTTCCCAGGGTCCCTAGAGCCAGACTCTGCCTGGCTAAGTTTTTTTGGCAGATGTTATGGGGTCCGGTGGAGGGGAGGGGACAGGAAAGACTGGTGGGTGGCAGCTCTCAATCTGGGCCGCCCCTACCCCCACTTAGCCTGGGACAGGGGCTGAGTGCCCTGGGCGGTCAGAGGCAGGAGGTGTAGCCAGAGAAGGGCAGACAATGCATAGGGCCTCGGCCCATTCAGGACTGATTGAGGGCCCCTGGCGGCCCTCAACTGGCCGGCCAGCCAGCATCTGCAACGCAGAGCGCACGCGAACGGCCAACGGCTGGTCTTACCGGGTGACGCATCCAGGGGCTGCCTGACCATATTCCGCCCATACTCCCTCACTATTCAGAAGCCCCAGCTCTGAGGGTTTCATCATCGCTGGGAGACACCAGGCTGATGGAAGAGGGGAGGTGTCATAGCCCCCCACCGTGAGCCTCCAGTGACATATGTTCCTTCCATATGCAAAATGCTTCCGCCACATCCCAAAGCTCCATTAAGTGTCAAGGCCTGGGAGAACTGTGAGGACCCTCAGTTCTGCTCTTTAGATTCTTGTTGGTCTATCCTTTTTTATGCAAAGTAGCACACATTTTATTCTGAGCAGTCCTATCAATTTGCTTCTTGCAAGTAGAATTAGGGCAGATGTGTGTGTGTGTGTGTGTGTGCGTGCGCGCGCGCATGTGTGTGTGTGTGTTGGGGGTGGGATGTGCTTTCTTGTCTGGGGCATTACTTGCTGGGATTGCTCCTGCTGACCTAAGTGTCTCAGAATCTTCGAAGCCCTGAGATTTAGCTTCATTAGACAAAGCCACGCCCACAGACCTTTTGAAATAAAATGATAAAAGAGATGCCAGAATGACAGTGCCCTTAAGTGTCCTATCACAGATACCTACGAGGAACACTCACTGCCTTCAAGGGGTCCTTTGCTTGACTATTCTGATCTCTTAGTCACTCTGAGTTCTTAGCTGAAAATTGTATCCTTTGACATCTGAAAGGGCTGAGAATTTTCAAAATCTTCCAGTCTTCTTTCCTGGGGAGGTGACACCAATGGCTAAACAATTTTCCCCTCCATGTATCACTCTCTCACATTATACTGAAGAAGCAGGAAGAAGAAACTAGGTAGCTAGATATTTGCACCACTGTATAGTTAATAAGTTTGAATTGAAGAGAAATAAGATCAGAAGTCCAGAAAAATAAAAGGCAGAGGTGTAGGTGGACAGCAGAAGGAAACCTAATATTGAGACACATAATAGAAGTTGAGAGAGAGAGAGAGAGAGAGAAGGAGAGGGAGAGGGAGAAGCTTATTTGAAAGAGGGCTAAGATATGGATTGAATTATGTCCTCCCAAAAAATATGCTGAAGCCCTCACCCCAGGTACCTATGAATGTGATTTGGAGATGGGGTCTCTGTGGACCAAGTTAAGATGATGTCATCCTGGGTGAGGGTGGGACCTGAATGCAATGATGGTGTCCTGATGAGTCCATGTGGAGGCAGAGAGACATGGGGAGAATGTTAGTGCTGTAACAGGGTTTTAGAGGCTGGACCCACAGATGCCCAGTGGGAAACTAAAAGCAGGACAAAGCTTGGCATCTCTGCCTTGATTTTATCTTTGTCTTCTTTATTGCCTTAAAACTTCTTTGGGTCCCAATCTTATTTTAGTATATGTGCTGCCAAAGCAAAAACTGTTTGGGTGCCAATCTTGCTCAGCTAGGTGTGTTAATCAGCTAGGTGTGTTAATCACTTAAGCAGTGTCTATCTAAAGACTGGTAATACATGGTGTATTAACCCTAAACTTAACTAACCTGTCTCATTCCTCTTCAAGACTGAGGACTCAAGATAAGAGTAAGTAAGGTATTCTTAAGATTTCCAGGGGCATTCAAGGCCCAGCTTTTACAACATCCTATTGCTGACCCCTCAAGGGGTGCCTGGAAGTCTCCAGTCATTATCCTAAACTTGCAGTCACCTTGGACTCCAGGAAAAGCAAAGCCTGGTAAAGAATTCACCCCATGATTAGGCTGCTCCGGATAAATGGAGCAGTTATTCCATGGTGAGGACCAAGGCTGCCCCTGAAGCAGGGCAATCTTCCCAGTGGAACTGATTTCCTCTTCACCTCACATGCCCAGTCCTGAGATGACAATCGACCGGAACATGACTTGACCAGGAAATACACCCTTCCAGTTCTGCAAACCCCAGACCCCTTTCCACCAAACCTCAAAGTCAGATCTTGTGCCGCTGAACTCTTGATCTGTCCTTCCCAGTGTGACCGCAGAGATTACTGCTCCTTTCCTGTTTTTCACCACTGCTCATTTCCTCAGTGGGCATTTTGAGGAGGTGGCTGAGCTTTGTTGGTTAGAATCCTGGGAGCTGGGGTTTACTCCATAAAACTCCAATAACAGTGTGACAACTGAGGGAGAGATTTGTGAAATGCACATGCAAGCCAAGGAATACTAAGGATTGCCAACAACCACCGGAAACTAAGGAGGCCAAGAAGATCCTTCCTTAGAGATTTCACACAGAGCACAGTCCACTGATGCCCTCATTTTTTATTTTGTACCTCTAGAACAGTGAAAAAATTAAAATCCTTTGTTTAAAATTTTATTTTGTTGTTTTTCTTTCTTTTCTTTTCTTTTGGTTTTTTGAGACAGGGTCTCACTATGTAGTTCAGGCTGGCCTTGAACTCATTATGTAGTCCAGGCTGGCCTTGAACTTGTAGTGATCCTCCTGCCTCAGCCTCCTAAGTACTGAGATTACAGGCATGCACCACCACCTCTGGCCTGTTTTGCTGTTTTCCTAGACGGGGCTTTGATATGTAGTTGATGCTAGACTTGAACTCACTAGGCACCCCAGACAGGGCTCAAACTTGGATTTCTCCTTCCTCTGCTTCCTGAATGGTGGGATTACAGTCATGTATCATAATTCTCAGCTATCCAGAAAAAAAATTTAAATAAATACCAGCCATCCATGTAAATATGACACTGACAGCTTACCAGCCACACAGCTTCAATGAACAGGTCCTGCCATGCCATCTTTAGGACTTCCTTTCCTCCATTCCCAAGAACATATTCCTCATTTCCTTCTGAGCCTTCATTGATAGCATTCTTAAAGTCCAGGTTTCTATTAACAGTCTGTCCAAGGAGATTTAGGTTTTCTTTAAGGTGATTTACATTTTTTTGGTAATGTTCCTCAAAATTCTTAGAACTTCTACCCACATCCTAGTTACAAAATCACTGACACATTTTTAGCCCCCACACCCATCTTTGGTTTTGTTTTCCACAGTTTCAGTTACCAAACTCAACTTTGGTCCAAAAAATATTAAATGGAAAACTCCTGCAATAAATAATCAATAAATGTTAAATTTCTCACCATTCTGAGTTGTATGATGAAATCTCATGCTGTCCTGCTCCACTCCATCTGGGACATGAATCATCCCTGTATCCAGTGTTACTTTGCTGCACACACTACCTGCCTACTAGGTACATAGTAGCTGTCTCAGTTGTCAGATTGATAATTGCAGTATCACAATGGTTGTGTTTAAGTAATCCTTACTTTACTTATTAAGGACTCATAAGTGCAAGCATAGTGATGATGGTAATTGGGATATGCCAAAGAGAAATTGTAAAACTGCTTCCTTTAAGTGAAAAGGTGAAAGTATAAGATATTTTGGGAGAAAATCCATACCCACAAATGTTTATTACAATTTGTTATAATTGTTCTATTTTGTTATTGTTGTTGTTAATCTCTTCCGTTCCCAACTTATACATTAAAGTTTATCATAGGTATGTATGTGTAGAGGAAAAAGTACATGTTGTAGTTGGTATTGTGCGTGGTTTCAGGCATTCACTGGGAGTCTTTGACACATCTGTGGACAAGGAAGGGCTCCTTTATGTGTTATAGCAGCATTCAATTCGTGTAACCAAAATTTCTATTAATGTCTTGTTAGACATTTTACCACTGTGACAAAATTCATGAGATAATAAAATTATAAGAAGAAAAGATTTATTTAGGTTCACCGTTTCAGAGGTTTCAGACCATGGTCACTTGGTCCTGTTGCTTTTGGGGCTGAAGCAGAAGTGTGTGGCAGAGGAGGCTAGCTGCTCTCTTCATAGCAGCCAGGAAGCAAAGGGAGAGTACAGAGCCCACACTTGCAATAACCGAATTTTCCTCCTCCAGTCCCATTTCCAAAATGTTCCACCAACTCCTTCCAGCACCACAGGCTGTGTCCAAGCCTTCAATGCAGCAGCCTTTGGGGAAATGTTCTGGATCCAAACAGTAGCAGTTTTCTATTGCTATGCACTGTACCTCAGATTTGGAATGTCCCCCAAAGGCCCATGTGTAGAAGGTTCATTCCCCAACTTAGTGGCCTGGGTGGGGGGTGGAATTTTAAGAGGTGGAGTCTAATGGGAGTGTGTCCTTGCAGGTATAGTGGAAGGCCACCTCTTCTTCCTCTCCTGTTCAATTCCCAACCATGAGATTAAGGGTTTGGTATGTGCTGCCCCCATGCTGTGCTGCCTCACCATAGGCCCAAAAGTAACAGGGCTAACTAATCATGGATTGAAACCACCAAAACTGTGAGCCAAAAAACTTCTCTTTGTCAGCTGATTAGGTCAGGTATTTTTTGTCGTAATGGAAAGCTAGCTAATGCACTGTATAACAAATAACCACAAAGCCAGTGACTTAGAGCATCACAAATTTATCATTACACAAGTTTCCACAGCCTGACTATGCATGATCTCATTCAGGTTGTCAGCTGGCTATACAGTCACTGAAGGCTCAGAGGAAGAAACTGCTTCTGAGCTCATTTAGGCTTTTGGTAAAATTCAGTTTCTCACAGTTGAGTGATTGAGATATGCATTTGCTGTTGAGAGCCACTCTCCATGTACAGATCCTGCATACTGTTCATAGGCTCTTCCCATAGGCCTCATTGTCACAGACACTTCACCAAGGCTGGCAGGAAGATTCCAGCACTAAATTCTCTTTAGACTTTGAATCTCCAACCTGTGTGTAACTTCCAGGCCCAGAGGTAAAAGACTCACACACAATTAGGTCAAGATAGTCACCCTTCTTTAAATAATAATCTTCCTTTCTTAAAGTGCCATAAAACATGTAATCATGGGAGTGATAGCTCATCATATTCATAGTCTCTCAAACCTTGAAGGCCAAGAACTATATAAGGATGTGGATCACTAAGATGTTGCCCTAGAATAAACTCAATCTAACCAAGAACAAAGAAAGTTATATTTATTTGAAGGTAAATAGGATTACAATTCGGGAAAACACAGATTGAAGCAGTCTTGAAAATACCCTCTGAGCTTTTACAAAATATGGCAG